CCGGTGACCCAACCACTTGTGATCCCCGGAGTGGGGCAACCCGCCAACGGTCCCGATGCTATCGCCGCGGGGCCTCCCCCGTCGCCCCCGCACCCCCACCCGGGCCCTCCGTTCCCCGCCAGCTCTGGGGGGGGGGGGGGCGCTGCCCGCCCGAGTTTGCTCTGCTCGGAGCTCCTTCCCGGGCTGGAGCTGTTTGTCCAGGGAGGGGCCGCCACTCCTGCCCGGTTTTCGGCTCTCGGCCGGGTGACCCCAGGAACCCTCCTCAGGCTGGGGGGTGGGGCGGGGCAGGCGCTGGGAGAGGCGCGGGCAGCACCCCTGGAGGGCAGGAGTGTGCGCTGGAGGCCTCTCCGGGAACTTCTCTTTTTGCGCCTGCCTCGCTCCTGGTTGGGGCGCGCTCCTGGTTGGGGAGCACTCCTGCTTGGGGGGCACTCCTGCTTGGGGGGCACTCCTGCTTGGGGCGCGCTCCTGGTTGGGGAGCTGCGTGAGGGACGCCGGGGTCGCCGGGGTGGGGCGAGTCCACCCGGGCGCATCTGCTGCTCCCTCGTGGGGGGCCCGTGGGGGGCCCGTGGGGGGCCGTGGGGGGCCGGGCCAACCCCGACCTGTGCCCCCAGGCCTGCGCCGTGGCGCTCATCACCGTGGGAGTAGCGGCCCAGCTCTTCCTGAACCAGATGGTCAGGGAGGGCGCCACCTCGGGCTCCCTGGTGCCTGTGGTCATCATCGCCGTGGGCGCCTTCCTCTTCCTGGTGGCCTTTGTGGGCTGCTGTGGGGCCTGCAAAGAGAACTACTGCCTCATGATGACGGTGAGTGGGGTGACGGGCCAGCGTGGGCCAGCGCGGGTGCCGGGGCTGCCAGAAGGGCACTGCTGCGGAGGGAGGGTGAGGACAGCCTTTGTGGGTGCCCCAGAGGCTGCTTGGCCACGGAGGGCCCCTCTCGCCCAAGCGCCAAGCCCGACTCCTGCCCTCCGCCTGCAGTTCGCCATCTTCCTGTCGCTCATCATGCTGGTGGAGGTGGCGGCCGGCATTGCTGGTTACGTGTTCAAGAACAAGGTAAGCAGGGGCGGGTCAGGGGCCTGCCCCGGGGGCCTGGCTGCTGGGGACCCAGGCGCCCGGAATCCGGATGTGAACAGTGCGCCCCTGTGCTCCCAGGTGATGTCGGAGTTTAGTAAGAACTTCCGGGAGAAGATGCAGGATTATCCCAAGAACAATCACACAGCTGAGTTCCTGGACCGGTTGCAGCAAAAAGTGAGCGGGGGCGCGGGGCCGGGGCTGGGGCCGCAGCGTGGAGGTCGGGGCTCAGGTCATGGTGAAGGTGGACACGGCCTGAACCACATTCTCGCCCGCGCTCTTCTCTCAGTTCCAGTGCTGTGGGGCCGATAACTACACGGACTGGGTGAGCATCCCGTCCATGGGCAGGGACCACGTGCCCGACTCCTGCTGCCGGAATTCTACCCCGCACTGTGGGGAGAAGTTCAAGGTGGAGGACATCTATAGGGAGGTAGGGCGGCGGCTTGAGCACAGGGGACTCGGGGCCCCTGGGAAGTGTCTCGGGAAGTGGGACGTGTGTGTGTTTTACAGAGGGCTGGACCCTGGGCAGTTGGGGGGTCAGGGATGGAGAGGGTGGGAGGCAGAAGGACCGGGGACACGGTGGGGAGCTGCTGCTGATGCCCCCCTGGTGTGCTGCCTCCTGCAGGGCTGTGTGGAGAAGGTTGGGGTCTGGCTGAGGGAAAATGTGCCGGTGGTGACTGGCGTGGCCTTGGGCATTGCCGCCGTGGAGGTGAGGGGTGCCTTTGGACTCAGTCCCGGGCATCTGGGGGGTAGGGGAGGGAGGAGGGTGCCAAGAGGAGGTACTCGTCTGGGGAGGCGAACCCTGGTGGGTTTGGGGTGTCTCGGGTGGGTCTGGGATAACTTGCCCTTTTGACATCTCTCTCTACTCCACTTTCTGTCTCTCCTCCTAGGCCCTGGGGGTTGTCCTGGCTTGCTGCCTCGTGAAGAGTATTCGAAGTGGCTATGAGGTGATGTAGGGGGTCTTGTCTCCTCAGCCCCCTCATCTCGGGGACTGGCGTTCCAGTTTTTCAATTAAACAGATTATTTTTTCAGACTGAAAAGAGTCTCCGTGTGTCTTGAAGAGTCTCTGTGTATCGCTTCCCCTTCCAAGTCATGTCCCTTGTCCTCTGGGGCCTTGCTCTCGATGCTCTGGGTGAGGCGGGCCTATGTGGGGGGGTGTTTGGGAAAGGTGGGTTTTGCGGAAGGCACTGGTTGGGCTGGCCAGGGAGTGGGGACCCACTGGTGTGGCCCGCTGTCCGTCTCCGACTGGCGCCATCGGGCCCTGGGCTGAAATACCCATAGAGCCCTCTCCTGCATATGCCAAAAGGACCCCCTGGCAGAGGTGCAGTCTGGGAGAGGCAAGTCCAGGTCTATCGGGGCATCTTTCCCTTGGCCTCTGCCCACTCTGAGGGTCCAGCAACTGCCGCCATCTGCGGGGGGGTTGGTCCTCTCAGGGTGACGAGATGTGGCCTTGATACCCGTGGACGTTGTCCTTTTTTCATGGAAACCATCCATCCTGACCTTGACCTCTCTTCACTCTCCCTGCCCCCCAGACCGCCCCCCCCAAATAATTGCTATTTCCATTTCAGACTCTGTTGCAGGATTACTCCTAGAAAAGATACACCCAAAGCGCCCTCTGGCGGCCATTCCTCTGCGCGGCTGCCGCCCTCCTCTCCCGCCCCCCAGTGGGCACTAGTTGTTTTGCAGGCACTAAGCAGGCCAGAGGCCCTGGGCAGCAGGCTTGGGTAGTCAACAGTTCAATGCCATCCGTCTGGGCCTCCCTGGTGGTGCAGGGGTTAAACACTGCACTATCAAGCTACTACCAGCCACTGCAGCAGGAGTTCGATCCCCAGCTTGGGAGCAACCCACATGGTGCAGCAGACCTCTCCTGTCTCCCCTCAGCACTGGATTTCAGTCCGTCTGCTCTGCTCCCCACTCTGTCTCTGGTGAATCCTCTCACCCCCTGCACCTCTGGCTTATACCCCAGTTCTTATACGCAAAAATAAACAAAAATCTTTAAAAAAAAAGATAAAAAATAAATGACATCAGTCTCCCAACAGCACCTTCATTTCTGCCAATGACAGTGCTTTTGTATTTTTACTTTCTACGTTTATTGAGTGCCAGTTGTGTGTGGGTACCAGGCAGTAACAGGGCAGGCACAGGAATAAATGGAAGTCCATGCCTGGATTCAGCAGACTGCCTGGGCTGGTCTGGGAAGAACCCAGGTGAGGATGGCATCCACCAGACTGGCTGGCAGGTAGGAGGCTGGCAGCCAGAGCAGCTTAGCGTCCCAGCCCGGGCTATAGCGGGTTCTCGGGTGTCGCGCGGTCAGAGCATGCTCCAGGCACCTGCTCACCTTGGTGAGGTCTGGGTCACAGATGAGGCTCATGATGGACCGCTGCACTTTCAGGTCTGCATCCGGGGGGTGGTTGTAATCAATGTCCCTGTCCTGCTGCAGCCCACCTTGGGTCCCAGCTTTTTCCTGGGCGTGTTGCCCAGCAGAGGTGAGGGGTCCTTAGTTCCGGTCCCCGTTTGGGAGTGGGTAGGTTTCATATGGCTTGGGTGTTCTCCAGGGGTATCTCATTACCCTTACCCCCTCCCTGATGGCCCTGCCCACCCTCTTGCCAGCATGGTGTTATAGGACTGGCCTTCCTGGCATTTCCTTTTCCCTCCACACACCCTACATGGGCCCAGCTACTCACACTTGGTGAGGAAGGCCTCCCCATAGCGGGCCCGTGTGGTTGGAGGGAGCCGTGCCCAGCAGGCCTGCAGGGCTTCCTCCAGACTGTCTAGGTTTGTCACTGGGGTTCGGAAGAAGCCGGGCTCCACGATGGATACTTGTACCCCGAAAGGAGCCATGTCCCTCCTGGAGAGGGGGCGAAGAGAGGTTTCTGTGTTCTTGCCTTATAGAGAGAGGATCTTCAAGGACATGGATGGGAGACTAAGATGGGGACGTTATCAGAAATACAGGTTGTGGGCCTCCCTGGTGTGCAAGGGGTTAAGATGCAACCTATGAAGCTGTCTGCAGCCACTGCAGCACGAGTTCAATCCCAGCCAGGGAGCTACCCCCATGGCGCAGCAGACCTCTCCTGTCTTGCCCACTGCTCCCCTCAGCAGTGTACTTTGTCAGTCTGCCTGTTCTGTTCCCCGCTCTGTCTCCTCTCACCCCCCTCAGGGGTACGCCTCTGGCCTGTACCTTGTATGCATAAATAAATCTAAAAAAAAAAAATACAGGCCATGATGGTAAGGGAGGTCTCTGTTGCCCTAGGCTGAGGGGCAGGTGGCACAGAGGGAGGGAGGTATTTCATGAAGTTTGTTTTATATTTTCTGATCTGGAGCAAGTGTCAGCAAACTTCTTAAAGGGCCAGGTAGTTAATATTGTAGGCAGCGCAGGCCTACTATGAATGATACACATAGATACTTATATAACCATTTACAAAGGTAGAAACCCTTATTAGCTTGTACCAGGCTGGGCAGATCTGGCCTGAGAACCAGTTTGCCAAATCATGACCTAGCAGAACAACATCCCACCCGAACGCAGGGCTGAGTCCTGAGTTTTGGATAGGAAGAGCTTAGATTAGTGTTTGCTGAGTGGCGGGAAGTGGAGATACAGCCTTGGCACAGATACAGAAATCCAAGTATACAAAGTATGTGGCCTGGGAGGTCAATTGGAAAGTGAAAAGGCTGAGAAGCAGGAACACAACCTCACACCGAATGGCGGTGGAAAAGGCAGGCTCCCTCGGAAGGGGGGCTCAGCTTGGGAACCCACTCTGCTCAAAATTCAGGCCCTGCCCAGACCTGTCCTCTCAAATCTCTTGTGCTCGCAGGGAACTTTGAACATTGCAGTGTAGAGATAAAGGGCACGAGAGCCTACTGAGCAGGCTCTCCAGGCCAGCAGACCTGGGGCGAGTCCTGGCGTCTCCACTGACGAGTTACGTGGTCTTGGAAAAGCTGCTGTAAGGCTCTTTCCTTATAGGGTTGTTGAGAGAACCAAATGTGGAGAAGTTACGTAAAGGTTACTAGTTCCCTGTAAGTAGCAGTTGTGTTATCAGTGATAACACTGATGATAACAAGCTTTTTGGGTATTTTCTATGTGCCAGGCACTGCTGGGACTTCACATGCACCTCATTTCAGTTATAACACCCACGAGGCAGGTGTCTCATGCCCATTTAAGAGATGAGGAAAAAGCTGGGGTAAAGAGAAATAACCTATTCAGGTCACAGAGCTCGTGTGAGAGAAGACTGAAGTTTGAACCCACGAACTCGAGGCCTACACTCTCCTCTGACGTGTCTCCTCACAGTATTCTCTGCTGTTTTGGTCACCTCTGCAGGGCAGTCACACATTTGTTTGTGGAGTAGGCCACCCCGGGGCGGGGAGCCCACGGCCTAGTACCCCTCACCTGAGGCTGTCAGAGAAGGCCTCCAGGCCAAACTTGGAGACACAGTAGCCCCCACCGTTGGCCGCCAGGCGGCCCAGGACGCTGGTGATGTTGACGATCCGGCCCCGGGCCTGCTGGAGCAGGGGCAGCAGGGCAAGGGTGACGCCGATGGGGCCCAGCGTGTTCACATTCAGCACCCGATGGAAATCCTCCCGTGTCAGCCAGGGCGTGGGCCCGATGACGCCAGCCACACCAGCATTGTTCACCAGGCCGAAGAGCCCTGTGGTGAGAGAGGCGGGAGGGGTAGGGCTGGAGGCCTCCTCCTCCCCGGGAGGGTCTGAGCGCTGCTCCTTCCCCAGGTCTTCCTCCCTAGCTCCCCACAGCCCCTCCCCAGGTGTAGGTGGCCCAGCCGTACTCACCTGCTTCCCCAACCTGTGTCTCTACCCACTCGGCGGCCCGCTGTATACTGTGAGGATCAGTGACGTCCAGCAGGGTGGTGTGGAGGTGCGAGGAGGCCGCCCACTGCAGGTGCTCTGCCCCCGCGGGAGTCAGGCAGCCGGCCAGGACCCGGAAGCCTCGCTGGTCCAGTCTCAGCGCCAGAAGCCGCCCAAAGCCCGAGTCACAGCCCGTGATGAAGACGAAGGCACCGCTGGCGGGCAGGCGCTGCCGGTCCCTGAGCCACCACAGCGCTGCCCAGAGCAAGACGCCCAGCAGCAAAGGCAGGCACATGGCTGGAGCCCCAGTGACCTGCAGGTGGCAGCCGAGACTGGACAGGAAAGTTTATCCAGTCCTCAGCCCTGGCCCCCCGCGTCCTCCTGGGCTGCAATTCTCTGGACCCAACAGACTGAGAAATTGTCTGCTGGGCAGATTATTGCTAAACTATGGCTCCTTTCTGCAAAGATGTGGGCAGACCCCAGACCGAGGCGAACACCTGACCAGACGAGCGGGTCTGTGCGCAGAACTTCTTGTTTGTTGTCCTCTTTGGCTTAACCAGGGATACTGGACTCTTAATGTGAGCTGGGCTTTGTGACCGGAGACACGAGGCCCAAAGCCGTGTGCTTAGTTCTGGTGGCCCCAGACTTCCTGAGTGATGCCGAGACTCTGTCACCAGCAGCTTCTCGCCTATCAGGGGGGCTAACACCCACCGTGCGTGTGAGGGTGGTGAAAGAATAAAGCTTGCAGTTACCAATCCTTGTAATATTTTGCTCGTTTTGTCATCGCACCCCCATTCCCAGCACCCTACTCACCTCCTCAGGGGAAAGCTAGCGGGCACCACAGTGCCTGAGGCTGCTGCTTTTACTTTCTTGAGAGGCTGCGTCTGCCTGCCAGACTCCCACACTAGCTACAGCGAAGGCCAAAGTCCAGAGCCTGCAGCTTTACACTGGGCGCCAGAGGCATTAGGGGTATGCGGGGCGGGGTTGTGGGGAGAGGCTGGGAGGAGGAGTCGGGGAGTCTACAGCCCGGCTACAGTCAGGGCTGGGCACAGGTCAGCCAGGGCTAGGCTCCCAGTGGCTGCCTTTTGCCCCACCCCACCGCCCACCCTGACCACCTCCTTCATGGACCCCCAGCAGGGGGACTGGTCGAGCATGGCAGCTGCCTCCCCTCTGCTGGCGACCATGGACCCGCCATTCCTCCCCTTTCCCAGTCCTGAAGGGCCCCTGAGCCTGAAGTGTTAATCTCCCACCTGGCCCCAACTCATGACACTGCTTGGTGCCAGGCTGGGAGAGGCCATGGGCACGTGGAGAGGCAGAAAGCCAGGGCTGGGACTGGGCCTGCTCCCTGTCTTAATTTCCTTCTGTAGCTTCACTCTGACCTTCTCTGGGAAGGGCCGGGCAGCTCCCACCTTTCGTTAACCCAACAGGCGCCTGAACCAGGCCTGCAGAGGGAAAGAAAGCAGGTTTGGTCAAGAGGAAGCTGGTCTCTCTACCGAAAAGGTGCCTGTCCCGAAGGGAAACTGTCTTGGATCTTCCACTCCCACCACCCACGCTGTGCTCCTTGAAACACAGCAAAGAGAGGGGCCTCCCTGGTGGTGCAGGGGTTAAGTCCCAGCGCCATCCAGCTAGCAACAGCCACTGCAACATGAGTTTGATCCCGGCCAGGGAGCTGCCCACAGGGCGCAGCAGACCTCTCCTGTCTCCCCGCTGCTCCCCTTAGCAGTGTGTTTCAGTGGATCTGCCTGTTCTGCTCCCCACTCTGTCTCTGGTGAATCCTCTCACCCCCATACCTCTGGCCTGCACCCCAGTTCTTGTATGCATACATAAATTAAAAAATCTTAAAAAAAAATACCAAAGAGAAATGGAAGCTTGTGTTTTATTCATGGGCTGTCAACCTCCCTCTTGCCCCCTCGGGGAGGGGAGAGGGGCTAGGAGGGGGCAGACTGCAGCTGTCCTTTGTAGACATATTCCAGCGCCGTGGCAATGGTGCGCATGTCCAGTTCGATGCTCCGAGCCCAGTTCTCTACATCCCCGATTTCCTGGGAGGCGGGGGAGGGGTCCAGAAGTCAGGGTGGGCAGAGTGTGGTTCTAGGGGATACCTGGGGTTACTTTCCATTCATCCCCCAGAAAAGGCTTGGCTTGAACCCACCAACTGCTTTTATTTCTTTAGCTTCTGACATTGGGGCCTGGGATGGGGTTCTGGGGCCACTGCCGCTTCCTCTTTAACTCCAAGCCTGAGGTGACCCCACGGGAGGCAGCCGATGGGGTAGAGGACAGGGCTGGGGATGGAGAGGGAGTGTGGCCCACCTTGAGTGCCTGGTTGAAGTTCTCCACCATCCCGATCCACTGGCCTGTCTGCTTGGCAAACTGGGCAGCCTGGACCTGCAGGGTCTTCACCTCATGGTCCAGCTTCCTCTGGTTCATGTAGGCCTGGGCCACACTAGAGGGGAGGAGGGAGGAAGTTCGTTCGCCAGCTCGCGGTGGGGGTGGGGGGTGGTCTGCAGGGCTAACATGCTATTGCTCCAGTGGGAGGCCAGCCAGAAGTCAGGCCATTCTTGGATGTGATGCAAACGAACCCCGCTCCCTCCTCCCACTCTTGGGAGCCCCAGGAGAACCTCACTGAGAGCTGACTAGAAACATACCATCTCCTACTCCCCAAAAGGAGTTCCTGAAGCTGGGTGGGAGAAGGGAGGGTTAACCTGGGGGAGATCCCAGAGGATGGGGCCGGGAGGGAAAGGGGATGGGGAAGCTGGGAAAGCACATCTGGCAGTGACTGGAAGTCCAGGGACCCATGAAACAAACTGGGAAGGGAAATCGGGCCCCTCCCTGAATTTGGGGTGGGTTGGGAGAGCAACCCCCTTCCTCAGGAACTCAGGGTCAAGAGAAGATATCCCAGGGGCTGCCTTTTGGCTTTCAGCCTCTCTCCCAGCCCTTGTCGCCCACACAGATGAATGAAAACACACACACACGCAAGCACACGCGCACGCGCGCACACACACACACACACACACACACACACACACACTCTTCCTCTTTTCTTTCTGCTCTAGGCAATAGTTTCTCTTCTCTCCGCAATCAAGGTGCCGGCTGCAGTGACCATGACTGCCGTGGGCTTGGAACCCCCAGTGCTCTGCCCATCACTCTCCTGTTCCCACACTCTCCGGCGATTGTGCAAGAACTCTTCTTCCTTATTGGCGGATGAATCTTTCACTCCCCACCCCAAAGCTCTAGGTCAGCTGGGAGACTCCACATCCGGTGCCCCCCACCACTGGAATCTGAGGGGGCTGGTGGGGGCAAGGGGTTGGGGGGGTCAAGAGAGTGGGAAGGACACCTGATGGGCTGAGATAGACTGAGTCTTTGTGTTTTTCTTTCCGGGGAAGCAGAGAGGTCGTGGGCAGCAACACAAAACCCTTTCTAATCTGGCTTTGGCTGAGCTGCCCTCTAAGCTGGAGAGGGGTGGCCTCGGCCAACTTCACAGCAGATACCAGGAGGGGCCCGTGAGGGAGGAATGGGGCCAGACTCTGTGCCCCTCTTTGGGGGGCAGCTGGGCCATGGGGGGTGTGGTGTAGGAGCTGATCATAGCAGGGGGTGCCCAGTGCTTCAAGAGAGTCCCCTGGGAGTTTCGAGATGCCAGTTTTCCCTGTTGATCTGCTCTCCACCGTTGACACTGAGTGAGGCGAGAGGCCTGGAGGGGAGGGCGCTCCGAGACCCCAGCCACAGCCCTCCTGCCCAGAGATGAGTAATGAAGATGACAACCCTGCACGTCTCGCTGGGGTGACTCAGCCTCTGGACTCACAACCAAGCCATTCTATTTGCCCTGGGGAGGAAGGCATCCTACTGCCTCTTTTCTTCCCACAGACGCCTATCAAACCACCATCTCTGCGGTCTTCTGGGTCAGTCAGGGTCAAGGGACAATATTCTTTGTTCCTTCCCAATTTGTGGCCGTCCCGGGCATTCTCATTTAGGGCTGGGGCAGGGGGTGGTCCTTGGCGGCCCAGAAGGAAAGGAAGAGACAGCCTGGCTCTGCTGTGGCTCCTGGCACAGGTTCTGCCCTTACTATCACCAGCTGTGCCATGTCTTTCCTGCCAGCTGCTACCCAGGCCTGCCAGAGAGTGGAGGTGGAGAAGACAGGATGGTGAGCTGTGGTGAAGGAGGGTGCCCTCCCTCTGCTGAAGTGACAGCTGGACTTGGAAGGGTGAAGGGAGGTGGGCAGATGGCACCAAATTGTCAGCACCAGGAAAGTTACTGTGGGGAGGGGGAGCCTGGCAGCGTCTCCAACCACTGCCGCTGCTCCCCCTGCCAATGTCAGGGGTCAGAGCTGACTCAAGCCTCCCTCCATGGAGTCAGACTGGGTGGGGAGAGGCAGGAGGACGCGTGGAACATGTCATCCCCTCAAGAGCAGTCTTGGGTCTCGACCTCGCCAGTCACTGAAATTAGGGCTCGGGGTGTGCACAGGCTGGTGTTGATGGGAAGAGGCTCATACCCCACATTGAGATGATCCACTAAAGCTTCTGTCAGGCAGGTGGCGGCAGTGATGGCCTCTCGCCTCCTCTTCTCTGGGGGGAGGGAGGAAACAATTGGACTGGAGACTGGTTTTTTGAGGGGTGGTCCTGAAGGTTTCCCACCCGCTCAACAGTATTCTGTGGGAACATGTCAACTCGGCTCGGAAATCCAGAGCTGAAAAAGAGCTTGCAAAACGGTGGCGCAGCGGTTGAGCGCTGGGTTGCGAAGCTCCCCGCGGCCTCTGCAGCGCCGGTTCGATCCCCGGCTGCTCCCCGGTCACCAGAGGAGGGTCCCACATGGTGCGCAGACCTCTCCTGCCGCCCGCTGCTCCCCTCAGCAGTGTCCTTCGGTCCTTCTGCCTGCTCTGCTCCCCGCTCTGGCTCTGGTGAATCCTCTCACCCTCCCGCGCTTCTGACTGTACCCAGTGCTTGTATAAATAAATAAATCAATCTAAAAAAAAATGATGAAAGCGAGCAAAATATTTCTTTAAAAAAAACCCAAACCATCAGGCAAGCCCCTCCGTCCTAGCCGGGCGGAAACGAGCGCCTCACAGGGCAAGTCGCGGGCCCGGGCCGCGAACCAGGCTCCCGGGCATCCTTACCCCCGTCTTGGCCTCAGGATTGGCAACCCCGGGGTTCCCGGCCCGGATTTAGCAAACAAGGGCCCCGCCCCGTTTCGCAGGCTTCAGGCCTCCAAGAACCCCCGCTCCGAGGGGCCCCCCTCCCCCGGGCCGAAGCAGCTGCCCCGCCGCGGGCGCCGGGCCCAACCCGCGCGCGACCCGCCGGCAGGGGCGGGACGCGGAGGCCGCGTCCGCGGCTGAGGGGACGGCGCTGCCGGGGGCGCGGCCCTGCCCGGCCTCCCCAGCCCGCGCGTCGCTGCGTCTGGGCGGCGGCTCGGGCCGCCCGGCTGAGGCCAGGCCGCGGCGGGGAAAGGGCGCCGCGCCCGGCCGCTCACCCTGCAGCTCCTTGCGCTCGTTCTGCTTGGCCTGGTGCTCCTTCAGCAGGCGGGACAGCATGGCCGGCGGGCGGGCGCGGGCCCCGGGCTGCGGGAACGGGCGGGCGCTCGGCGGCTCCGGGGCCGGGTCACGTGGCGGCCTCGTCACGTGAGGCGCGGCCCGGCCTCCCGGGGCGGCGGGCGTCGGTGGCGGGGAGCCCGCCTTTGCCAGGGTGGGGCGGCGGCGGGCTGGGGGCTTGTGAGCGCTTGTCCTTATCGAAGCTCGTTTTTTGGTGAGTGTTGGAAGCCGTTTTCTTCGCTGCCCATGCGGAAGAGCCAGTTTTTTTTTTAAAGATTTATTTTTATTCAAGAACTGGGGTACAGGCCTGAGGCCTGGGGGGTGAGAGGATTCATCAGAGACAGAGTGGGGAGCAGAACAGGCACACTGACCGAAGTACACTGCTGAGGGGAGCAGCGGGCGAGGCAGGAGAGGTCTGCTGCACCATGTGGGTAGCTCCCTGGCTGGGGATCGAACTCGTGCTGCAGAGGCTGCGGATAGTTTCATAGGCTGCGTCTTAACCCCTTGCGCCACCAGGGAGGCCCGGCAGAGCCAGTTTTTAACTTCCCTGGCTCGCAGGCCAGCGGGAGTGTCGGTGTGGCCAGTCTGCCCATCATGGTGGTTCTGTTGTTGGAGCAAAGGCCGCTGGCCTCATTGACATTCTTTCCCTGGCCTCGCCTTTCTCTCCTGGCAGCTCAGGCTGCTTCTGGGTGGATTCTCAGCTCCCTCCCTCTAGGAGGGAAGGCTTTCCTCTCTTTTCCAACACTCCTCACCACCCCACCGAGGTGATCTTTGCAGAGAAGCAGCATTTTAGGGCACTTCCACTGGCCTCCCAGGGAGCTTTGCTAGCTTGGCTGTCTGTGTGCGGTGGATGTACAATTCCTTCTCTGTCCTTTTGTGGTCAGGGAATGAGAGCCCATTATCAGAAGAGTAAGTGCTACTGCCAAAATAAAAGGTGAATTATATTGTCCCTCTCTGAAATAAAGAGAAATGCTTCTGGGATTAACTCCAACAAGAAAAAGAAATCATCAGCATCATCAACATATTCTTGCTTTTGCCACAGTGTCTCTGGTGCACCGTGTACTACATGCTGGATGGCTTTGTGCACGTTGCTTACTCCAGATTTTGGTTTTCTCTTTGGTAAAATAAGGGGATTGAATTGGTGGTGGTTCTCAACCCTTGCGAAATATTAGAATTATGTGGGGGAAGTTTTAAAAAATGTGGAGGGGCCTCCCTGTTGGCGCAAGGGGTTAAATCTCAGCACTGAAGTTATCTGCAGCCACTGCAGCAGGAGTTTGATACCCAGCCAGGGAGCTACCCACACAGCGCAGCAGACCTCTCCTGACTCCCCACGGCTCCCCTCAGCAGTGTATTTCAGTAGATCTGTCTGTTCTGTTCCCCACTCTGTCTCTGGTGAATCCTCTTACGCCCCCTACACCTCTGGCCTGTACCCCAGTTGTTGTATGCATAAAGAAATAAATCTTTAAAAAAATAAAAAACGTGGAGGCCCCAGACTAATTAGCTAGATTTGTGAGGGTGGAGTCCAGGCAGAGGTATTTAAAACAAGTTGCTCAGGTGATTCTAATGTGCATTCAAGGCTGAGAATCCCTCATCTAAGCCTCACTTCAGGCTATTTCCAACTTTGGCATTCTCTCATTTTGTGATTCAGTTCCATGTTGAATACTGACCTCATTTTATCAACTTGCTGGGAAAGAGAAATCGGTGCTGTTTGAGTTAGAATAAAACATTGTTGAATCTTCTGAGTAAGAGGTGAGGATTACTGATTGACTTGTTCATTTCACTGCTTGCCAAGTAGCATCTTAAATTCTAGGAGATGTGCGACCTTCAAAGGGTTAGTGAGTGAAATGGGTAAGTGCAGCCTAAAGTAGAATATTAAGCCCTACAATAAAAATTCTGAATAAAAATGTTGGAAACTGTGCGTATGTATCTATGCTTACATGTGCACTGTAACTTATTTCCCCTGAGTGCAGGTCACATGTGTTAATTCATTTAATCCCTAGAACACTTCTGTGAACACTTCTATTATTATTTGCATCCCCAGTTTGTAGATGACGAATCTCAGATATAGAGCAGGTAAGTAATAGGTCGTCAAGCATTGGAGCGAGGGGAACAGATTAGGCTATCTGCTCTGGGGGCCCAGGCTACTAGACTGCCCACCCCATGAGAGAGACCCCAAAAGGGGAGGCCCAGAGCTCTGTTGGGGAGGGTGCCATGTCTCTTCACTCCATCCAAGCACTAATCAGGCCCGACACTGCTTCACTGCTCAGATCAGATGCTGTGAGGCTGCTCGGGCACAGACACCCTGTCTCATCACACTGCCCCTCTAACCTGTGACACATCAGTTGCTGGGAATCCTAGCAGGGGAGGGGTTCTGCTCCAGAGGGGGGCTGATCGATACAAGTGGGAAGTGTGAGGCATCACAGGGCAGCCTGGCCAGGTCCTCCCTGCCCCCTCCCCTGGCTCCAGCTTCCAACTGCAGTGAGCCAGCAAAATAGAGGTAGATGGGAAGATACCTGGTGTCTCACTCCCAGAGCTGTGAGGCCTGCGAGAATGACAGTTTGGAAGAGGAGCCAGGGAGTGGAGGCCTGAAGACATGAAACAGGGCAGGGGCTGACGGGGTGGGCTTGGTGTTGGTGGTTTCAGGGTTGAGTCTGTGAATGTTAAGATTCTACTGACTCAGGGAGACGGCCAAGCTCATCCTGTATTACCCTCACCCGCTTGGCACAGCTGCCTGACATTTGCGCCGTCAGTCCAGAGACTGCCAGGATTCTGCAGACACCAGCCTTATCCCCTCTCCCACACACTAGTTGTTCCTTTGCCCTAGAGCTGGGCAGAGGACATAGTTACCTATTCCTGGGGACCCCGGCTGATCTCTACAGGGTCATCCTCCAGCTGCTCCTTTTTGGGGCTCTTGCTGCTGGCTGTCTGACCTGAGTTTCTGCCTGGTTGAAGCCCAGATCCACTTGCCATTGGTAGAGATGGACACAGCTGTATGCATCTCCAGAGAATGACTCATGAAATTGGAAATCTTTCTGCCCACTTCTCTTTACAGCTTCCCATCCAGATTATTTTCCCTTTGAATGAATGAATGCAATTCACATTCTTTTCTCCACTCATTGCCTTGTTCTTTTTGAGCTCTCTTTCAGCGTTAGCTTTACTTCTTTTTTTAAGATTTTTTTATGCACAGAAGAACTGGGGTGTAGACCAGAGGTGTGGGGGGCGAGAGGATCCACCAGAGACAGAGTGGGGAGCAGAAGAGGCAGACTGACTGAAATACACTGCTGAGGGGAGCAGTGGGCGAGTCAGGAGAGGTCTGCTGTGCCATGTGGGTAGCTCCCTGGCTGGGAATCCAACTCATGTCTCAGTGGCTGGCGATAGTTTGATAAAGCTGAGACTTTAACCCCTGTGCCACCAGGGAGGCCCTAAGTGATAGCTTTAATTAGCAATCTCCAACTTGACTGGTTGGGTCAAACATTTGGGTCGGAAGCTGCTGAGTTTTTGGGGGCTGGGTGAGGACCGAGGGAGTCCATGGAGTGAGTGGAGAAAGCTTCTCATTCTGGGAAATATGGCTAGGTTTCAAGAGGGGGCCCTTGGTGGTGTGGCAAAGTTCCAAATGTTGGCCTGAAGCCACTGCTCAAAGAAAAGGGGCCCTCAAGACAGCTTAAATGGTTTCCTGTGGGAGTGACCTCTCAATCCCTCCCCGCAAGATGCCAGGGTTTCCTTTGCATTCTCAAAGACCGGAGTGGTCAGGTCATTTCCTCACGGATCCCCCTTGATCACATTTATATTCTTTTCATCCCACCTACTCCCAGAGTTTGAGCTTTGGCTACAGAGAGAATTCAGAGGCAGGCAGAAGGATTCCTGTGTTGGGGCAGTGGGTGGGGTGAGAAAGGCCTCATGTTTGCGTTGGGAGGAAGAGGCTGACCTGGGACATATGCACCAAGTCTTTGCTGCCAGAAGAGGTGGAGGAGAAGTTAACCCTGAATGTGTTCCGGAAGTGTTTGTAAGCTAGAGACAGCAGCTAGAGGCAGAGTGATTGGGGGAACTGAAAAATGGGGATCCCAGATGTGTGTAGGAGCTTGTCAGTGAGGAAGACTCACTTCCACTCTGACCAGGCCCAAAGTCTTTGCTGGATCTAGACAGTCATCAGTTTTAAAATGTTTTCAAATTATTTTGAAATAGTTTTAGACCCAGAGGAAGTTGCAAAAATAGTGCCTGAAGTCTCTTGGACCCTTCACCCAGCTTCCCCTAGTGGCGACAGCTCGTTCTCCAATAAACGTCATTTTGTTCAAAGTTGTTATAATGTTGATGAGAATAAAACAATCCCAGTCAGTGAAAGGAGGACCTGCTTTGCTTGCCATCAATTTGCTTAAAAGTCACAGTTTCCAGGAAACCATTCTAAGCGAGGACGTATTTCCATCTCGAAACGAGGAGGCTGACGTATGTGCACTACTGTTGAGAGCCTCCAAACTGGACCCCATGGCCAACACGGTTTACACGTCTCCAGGTGTGTGTGCTCAATGTCATTTTATCTCACGTTTAGAGTTGAATAATCACCCCCAAAATCAAGACACAGAACACCTCATCACCACGACGGAATCCCCCGTACTCTTCTTTTATCGTCAAACCTCCTCCCGCATCCCTGCCCCTGGAGGTCACTCATCTGTCCCTCGTTGCTACACTTTTGTCATGTTGCGAATGCCGCGTGAGTGGACTCTCAGGGTATCGCCACTGGTTTTGTTTTAATAAAGTCCCAAACTCTCGACTCAAATGCTCACGAAGTTCCCTGGTAGGTTCTTAACGTTGCGCTCCCTCCTTTCTCCAGATCCCTGTAGTGTCTCCACTCCACCCCTCACCTACAAACTGCACCGCGCTCCAGCGATCTGCTCTCACTCCTTCAGGGAAAACGGACATGTCTAAACTCACCAGGCTGGTCTAGGGCTCTGGCACCAGCCCCACCCTCCCTTGCCCCACTATTTATAGCCGGGCTTATTTTGGGCCCCCCTCTCTCTCTCCCTCTCTCTCTCCTCCTTCCTGCCGAGGCGGTGAGGTGACTTCTCGAGTATTTGGGCAGAGGAGTTCTGAAACAGATTCTTGGCATCTGATTTCATGCTGGGATTTAGCAGGAGCCGGTGGAGTAGAGCTGCAGGGAGGCAGAAACTGCGGGTGCAGAGGGGAAGGCAGCTGGGGCTCCAAAGGCATTTGCCCCTCGTTGGAAGTCTGGCTTGAGAGTCAGGAGACCTGGGTTCTGTCCTGATTTTACTACTCCGCATTCTCATCTCAGCGCTACTGCCTGCGGTTCTGGGCGTAATTAGAGTAGAATCCCATAGCCAGCCCGGGAAGCATCTGCATTTCCTTGATAGCATCTGTTTAGAGGAGCACTAGGCCCCTGGAAGGGATGTCCGTAAGGGCAGTGTTGCAGAAATGGAGGCCACACCTTCAAATGTACAGTAACTTACCCAGCTCAAGGATTGTTCCAGGGCCGGCGGAGGGCCCTTTCGCTTTTTTTTTTTTTTTTTGGAATTTATGTATTTATGCATACAAGAGCTGGGGTACAGGCCAGAGATGTGGGGCATTCACCAGAGACAGAGTGGGGAGCAGAACAGGCAGACCAACTGAAATACACGGCAGCGGGCCAGTCACGAGAGGTCTGCTGCGCCATGTGGGTGTCTCCCTGGCTGGCGGGGGGGGGGGGGGGGGGGGGCTTGAACTCGTGCTGCAGAGGCTGCTGTCGCTTCATGGGTTGTGTCTTAACCCCTTGCACCACCAGGGAGTCCCCCCCTTTTTTGAAAGTATAATCCTGGACAAAGATGAGAGACAAAGGGATTGCGATCCGGGGAATCAGGTAGAACACGTGTTGGGATTTTTACGAAAGGGCAGAAGAGAAAATCCTAAGAATGTGATGTGTGCGAGGGACAGCAGAGACACCGGAAAACAGTCTGAGGAAGATCCCAAGGGGCAGCGACAAGGAAGGGAGGGGAAGCAGAGTTTCGGGGGAGACAAAACCAGCGAGCGGGCGAGCAGGCGAAGGAGGGGGGGGGACGGGCGCGCATCAGCCCTGGGCAGACGGAGCCCCGGAGGGCGGTGGGAGAACGCGGCCTCCGGCGGTGCCAGATTATTTCCCGGCTCTTCTTGGCCCCACGGCCGGACCCGAGCTATAAATAGCCGAGCTGGGGAACGTCCCCTCCCCGCGGCTCCGGTCTCCGCCCGGGGCAGGGTCTGGGAAAGCGCCGGAGCCCGGGTCCCCGCGGACGCCCCGCCCGGCCCGCCCGGCCCGCGCGCCCCGCGCGCCCTCGCGGCTCCAGGCCCCTCCCGGCGAGGCTGGGAGGGGAGCGTGGGGGGCCGGGGGGCGGGAGGTCGGGGGCCGGGGGCGGGGGGCCTCTGCCCCGGGCCCAGGCTCTGCTTGGTCCTTCTCGGACGCCCCCTCTCCGCCGCGCGCCCCCGGCCCCAGGTCCTGCCCTCGGGTCCCGCCCAGCCGCTCTCCGGCCCGCCCGCTCCCCGCCGGCCGCCCCGCGCCCCCCGCGCCCCCCCGCCCCCCCGCTCTCCTCCGCGTCCCCCTCCGCCGAGGGCTGGGCTTGGGGAGGCCGGGCCGGGAGGGCGGGGGCGGGGCGCGCGGCCTGCGGGGCCCTGCCCGGGACCCGGCGCGGGGGCGCCCTCGGGTGCCTCTGCCCCCCTCCCGCGGGCAGCTCCGCCGCGGGCACCCCGGCCCGCGCCCGGCCCTGCTCTCCCCGCGTCTGCGGGCGGCGCCGCGGCCGGGCTGGGGCGCGCGCGGGGGGCGCGCGGGGCCGGAGCGCGGCGGGGCCGGGGCGGGGTGCGCGCCCGCCGGTTCCCACCCCGAACCGCGGGCCGGGGCGTCCCTCGCGCGGCGGGGCGGCCTCCACCTGCCGCGGGGCGGGGCGGGGCGGGGCGCGCGGGGCGGGGCGGGGCGGGGCGGGGCGGGGCGGGGCGGGGCGGCCGGCGGGGCGGGTGCGGGAGCGCACGCCCGGCGGCTGCAGTGGCCGGAGCCGGTGCCGGGGCGGCCGAGAGCGCGGCGAGGGCGGGACGCGGAGACACCCCTGCAGGGCCGGCGAACTCGGACCTCGGAGGCCAGCCTTGGGGGGCCCGGCACTCGGGGAGCGGCTTTCCTTGCGCGCGTGGGGAGCGCGCGCTGGTTTCCCCCCATGGCCAGGACTCCGGGTCGCGAGACTTGGGGCGCTCCCGCGATCCGCTGCCTTCTTGGCGCCTCGCTCGCCGGGCTGCTCTTCCCAGGGGCCGGCGCCTTCAATCTGGACGTGCTGGGCGCCCTGAGCAAGGAGGGCGAGCCGGGGAGCCTCTTCGGCTTCTCCGTGGCTCTGCACCGACAGCTGCAGCCCCGACCCCGGAGCTGGTGAGTCGCTGCGCCCGCCCGGCGTCCGCACCCAGCCGCAGATCCCCGCAGCCCGCTTCTCTCCAGCGCCCCATCCCACCAGGACAGGGGCGGCCCACAAACACCCCACACCCTCCGTGGGCCTGGAGGCGAACCCGCAGGCCTGGGGACCCAGGGGCTGGGCTGGGGCAGGAGCTTCTCTGCCGTTGCCTCCCAGCTTGCATCCTCGCAGCCTTTCCTCCCGGGGTTTGAGGCGGCCCCTTGCCGCAGGCTCCCCGCCTGGGAGGGGAGGCACAGCCTTTCCTCTCAGCTTAGGGAAGGAGGAGAGGAAAATACAGTGAGGGTGAAGGTGCCACGGGAAGGTTGGAGAGGAGATTCCAGAAGCAACGTCCTGCAGAGCATCTATGGACGGTGGGAGGGCCGCAGGCAGGGGAGGCCGGGAGAGACCTGCCGCTGCCCGGTTCTGGATGGCAGGAAGGTTGGGAGAAGGTCCAGGCGGGCGGGCAGCCTGCGCTGGGTGATTTGGCCATAGATGGTGTCAGCAACCAGAACCCCCACAAGTTTGTAGCAGCGGCCGTGAGAGAGTCCAGCAAGGATGCTGGCAGCCTCTTCCCCTTCCTCCTGCGCAGGAGATTTCCAGCTCCTGGGATCCCAGCAGCGGGTATTCCAGGCAGGGAGAGTGGGGGGCAGAGGATTCTAGCCTTTTCCCTACCAGGTCGGGGCTCCTGGGAGATGCCCGCGGTGCTGCCCGGGCCTGGGGCTGCCATGCTTCTCGCCTCATTGGCCGCAGCTACCTGTATGATTTTAAACAGAGAAGCAAGAGCTCTTCTTGCTTCTGCAGACCCGACTGGCATCCCGGTACAGCCTGGTAACAGGACAGATGGTGTTTGCCCATGTGTTGGTCAATTAATTTATTTCTCCTTCTCTCTTCCTCCCTCGCTGCCTTTGTTAATAAACCTGATTTCCCCCTTTAAAAAGAAAAGAGAGAGAAGCAAGAAGGGGAAGAAAGCCTCCCAGCCCCTCCTGCCAGGAGGATTTTCTCTCCTAGGCCAGTGCCTAAGCCACACTAAGTGTCCATTACCGGGATCAATGCTGTCCCCAGGGACTCCCCCCCAGCTCCTGCTGCCTGCGGGCAGAGAGGGGGGGCTTTAATCTTTCTCCTCCCATCATCTTGTCATCCAGGATCAGGGCCAGTGGCACCCCAAATCTTGGAAGGGAGAGCAAGCAGCTGGCTTCACCTCTGCAGTCTTTCATCGGCGTCTTCCCTCATCTTTGGCTCTTTCCCTCCCGCCTTCCACCATCTGCCAGAGTCCCAGGGCTGGAGGCCTTTTTAGGACATGCCGAACCCTCAGAGCTATTTCCAGGCAAATTCTAGGTTATTTATAATAGCTTCGTTTCTTCTCACCCCCCCTCCTCTCTGAAGGTGGCCCCTGAGTCTGTCTCCCAGGGCCGAGCTCAGGGTATTCCCAGGGGGGCCTTTTCGCCTCACCCTGCATTTGCTCCAGCAGGGGGCGCTCTGCTGCCCGGTGGCCGACGAGAGACCGGCCAGGTACCTTGGGGCGTCCTTAGCGTTTGAGTTTCAGGGCGCTCACCAGCTGCAAGCACCCAGCTGTGTTTGATGTCTTTGATTCAGCCTGGATGAGACCTGGAGTCTAAGCTTTGCTGGGGGGTTTCAGCTTTGTTACTCCTTCTGCTCTCAGCCGGGGACGAACACGAGGCTGCCGCGTAGAGCTGTTGTGGGGGCCAGACGGTTCTTGACAGAGGCAAATCGCTTTGAATAGCGCAAGGCCCACCACGAGTGTCTCACTGTCTTGAGTTGCGGCCCACAGGGGAGAGAAGAGCTCAGCGCCTCGCCGTGAGCCTGGGCCCAACGGCTTGGCAGAGCATCCCCAGGCCCGAGCCAGCCCGCCGGCCACTACCCTCCCGAGGGCCACCGGCCTGAGCCTCGGGGACGGCGGGGCGTGGGCTGCAGGGAGGTGCGCGGAGGGTGGGGAGGGCCGTGGTCGTGCGCCTCTCCTTTGCCTCCACGCAGCCGGGCCCCGGGGACTCCCTCTGCCCCGGCTGCCTCTCCCTCTGCCAGGACTTCAGCTGCGGCTGCTGTTCTGGCCAGAGAGGCGGGGTGCCTGGGGGTGGCGGGGTAAAGCCAGGAGGCGTGGGAGACTGGGACAGAGGTGGCGGGGCAGGAGAGGCTGCTGGTGGGAGCGCCTGTCCCCGGAGGGGCTGGCCTGTTCTCCCCCGAGGACGGGGCCCAGCTCGTCCAAGGGCTCAGCCTCTTTCGGCACGTGGAGCCCTCTGTCTCCGTGCTCCCTCCCTTGGCCTCCAGGGGAGCGGGAGCACCGAACACCGAACACCGCCTGCGAGCTGGCCCAGGGGCTTCGCTGCGCTGGCCACTTGAGGCCTGGGTGTCTCTGAGCGTCACCTCCCATGAAATGTGGGTTCTGCAAGCAGGCCCTGCTGCCTCCTGTGGGGCAGGCGAAGGTGAAGGACAGCCCCAGGCTCCCGAGAGATGCCCCACTGTGCTCGGAGATGGGGGGCTGTGCTGGCTTGGCTGCAGACCGGCCGGCCACCCATGCCACCTGTTTCCTTTTTTTTTTTTTCCTGCTCGGGGCCCGTTCCTTCCCCTCCCTCCCATTTCTGAAGACGGGCGGCCCCCGGGTGTACTGGGAGACGACTGGGTGTTGCAGCGAGGCAGGTGGGGATTTGGATTCAGTTGGCTAAGTGCTGTCTGTGCGTGAGGGAAAAGCCTTACATGGGAGTGATGTGACCGTTAAATGAGATAATGCACACGACTTGCCAGGCCTGGCGCCCGGCACACAGGTAGAGCGTGAGTAATGCGCGTTCCCCACACCCCTGGCATCAGCCCAGGGCCCGACCCACAGTAGGTGCTGGATAAATATCCCGTCCTTGTCTCACCAGCGCTTGCCACAGGCCTTGCAGCTGATGGGCTCTCAGTAAACAGTTTTTAGCGGGTGCCAAGTGCAGGCTCTCCTTCCTGCCACTCCCCAGCCGTCTCCTCTCGACATTGGCTCTGACCCGGGATGACAGCTGCTCAGGGGAGGGAGAGCGGCTCAGTGCCCCCGTCCCTGAGCCATCAGCGCTGGCACAGCGCCCCGCAGATGCCGTCTGCAATCTTGTCCCACACGGCTTCGGCTTCGGCTTCGGGCCTCGCCTGCCCCCTCGGCAGGGGAGGCGGAGGGAGGGTGTAGGAGGCGGACCTCGAGGTTCCAGGTTCGTCCTGCTCCTTCTTTGAAGAGAGCAAGTTGCGGGCAGCTGGCGCCAATCACCTCGCCTCGCCCCGTTTTCACTCCTGGCCTGGGGGTTTAGCCCCGGGAGACCCAGGCAGCCTCCATTCCCAGCCCAGTCCTCCCCCGGGGAAGAAGCCTTGGCTGTGAGGATGGAAAAATGTCCTGCCAAGAAAGTTGTAGCTGGGAAAGCGTCTGAGGGGGAGGTGGGAGAGAAGGCTGGACGGGGCGGGGGGAACGGCGAGGTGGGTGGGTGTGGAGAAGGGAAAATCATGGGTGTGGGGAGGAGCAGGAAGATGGGGCAGAGAATGGAGGATTTGGGGGCCACGAGGAGGACAGGGCTGGAGGCAGAAGTCACCCCTCCCTCCCTGCCAGCGGGGTGTCTGAGAGAAGCCTGGGCTGTGGGGGGCTGGGGTCTTCCGTGGTGGGAAGCAGGCCTGTATCTCGCCTCACGCTTGGCCTCCGAAGCTGGTCCCTGGGCCTCCACCTGGTGCCACTCTGGGTCACTGTGACTTTTGCTTGCAGCGTTCCTGGCATTTCTGGGAGGCTTTCAGCTGGCCCAGGGTGGGGGAGGAGGCCAGAGCCTGGGATGGGGCCAGGGAGCCGGTGGGGACGGCCTAGTCAGGAACAGGTGCCGGGAACAGGCGGTTCTTTCAAACCATGGGCAGACCTGGCCAGGCTGCTTGGTTGGCGTGTGCGTGTGTGCGTGTGAGTGTGTGTGTGCGTAGACACCTGGCGTGCGTGTTGGTCCCTCACCCAGACCATACACACACGGCACGGGATGACTGCATGGCCAGAGGTGTTACTTAGCCCTTGCCAGGGCTGGGGCTGCGGCTGGGCCTGGGTGGCTCTGGGGACGGGGCTCTGCTCTCACCCCTGCCCCGCCCGTCCTACAGGCTGCTGGTGGGCGCTCCCCAGGCCCTGGCCCTGCCCGGGCAGCAAGCGAATCGCACTGGAGGCCTCTTTGCATGCCCGCTCAGCGCGGAGGAGACGGACTGCCACAGAGTGGACATCGACCGGGGAGGTGCGGCCCTGCGGGCTGGCACAGGGGGAGGGCCCCGAGGCTGGAAGGGGGGACTTGGCCTCCTCTTCCCTCCCCTAATTCCCGGTGTCCTGCCTCCAGCTGATGTGCAGAAGGAGAGCAAGGAGAACCAGTGGCTGGGAGTCAGTGTTCGGAGCCAGGGGCCTGGGGGCAAGATTGTCGTGAGTACCTCTGGTGACGGCGCGGCCCAGGGTGTGCGCACGCGCTACGCCAGTCCTGCTGCGGCGCTCAGGCTGGGCGTGTGGTGTGGTGATTTGATTCCCAGGACCTCAGGGAGATGTAACAATGTGCAAGACAGGGCCCTGTCCTTACGGATTTAATCATTCATCTCTCTATCCCTTGCCAGACTCTTACTGAGAATCTTTTTTTTTTAAGAAGATTTATTTATGTATGCATACAAGAACTGGGGTGCAGGCCAGAGGTGGCAGAGGGCAGGTGAGAGGATTCACCAGAGACAGAGTGGGGAGCAGAACAGGCAGATCCACTGAAATACACTGCTGAGGGGAGCAGCGGGCGAGACAGGAGGGGTCTGCTGCGCCATGTGGTTGGCTCCCTGGATGTCCTGGGATCGAACTCGTGCTGCCGTGGCTGTGGACAGCTTGATAGTGCCGAGACTTAACCCTTTGTGCCACCAGGGAGGCCCTTACTGAGAATCTACTAAGATCAGGCGCTGTGCTAGTTTCCGAGAGGAGACATATAAAGCGACACAGACAGAAAAAGGGGCTCAAACAACCTGCTGCGTAGTCATGGAGGGTCCCGTCCTCTGTCTCTCTGTGTCTGTTCCTCGCGGTGTCTCCCACGGACACGCGCACGCAGGGTTGATAACACCCGTCACGGCAGATGGGGTGGAGCGCGGCGAGTGTGAAATGAGTGACAGAGTCCCAGGTCCATAAAGCTCCAGAGGAGGCGCGCGGAGGAGAGACGCGTGCAGGCGGGTGGCTGGAGTCAGACTGTCAGGCAGAAGCGGTGCTGGGAGCTAGAGAGGCGAGGAAGCTCTTCGCAGACCAGGGCCGGGGCGGGTCCAAGCTCAGCCCGTCGGGGATCTTCAGTCTGAGTGTCGCTGGAGGCAGGAGCTGGGCGCTGCCTGAGGTGTGCCCGTGGGTGGCCAGGGCCGGCCAAGGATGGGTGCAGACGGGCGCGTGGGTGCTGTGTATACACACCCGGTGGTGCTTGCCTACGTGAGTGGGTGTGCGTGTGTGTGCACGTGGGCATCTGCGCCTGCCAATGCGTGCCCGCGGGCAGGGCAGCTCCGGCAGGCCCCGGCCCGGCCGTGGACGACCCCTGCCCCTTCCACACACAGACGTGCGCGCACCGCTACGAGACTCGGCAGCGCGTGGCCCAGACCCTGGAGACGAGGGACGTGATCGGCCGCTGCTTTGTGCTGAGCCAGGACCTGGCCGTCCGGGACGAGCTGGACGGCGGCGAGTGGAAGTTCTGCGAGGGGCGCCCGCAGGGCCACGAGCAATTCGGATTCTGCCAACAAGGCGCCGCGGCCGCCTTCTCCCCCGACAGCCACTACCTCCTCTTTGGGGCCCCGGGAACCTACAACTGGAAGGGTGAGTCGCCCCGGGGGCTGGGAGGTCCTGCGACCTCAGGAAGGGCTGGGGGCAGCACGCGGCCTCGCATGCCCACCTGCTCACTGCCTCGGGGCCGCCCCGCCACGCCTCCGCCCCGTCGTGTCAGCACACGCTCGAGCGGGGGTGTTTCCTCTCCTGCGCATGGCCGAGTGTTCCTCAACATGCTGGCATGGCCCCCCGTGCCTGGCTGGGCCTGCTCCGCGGCGGGGCCTGCACGCTCCGGCACCCGCCGCGCCTCATCTCCCCCACTCCCGTCTCTGCACGCTGCCGGCGGCCGAGCTGACTCTCGGTGAGTGTGAGGCCAAGTCCGGGGGCCCCACGAAGCTTGGACAGGGGAGGGAGGCGGAGACGGGGCTGGAAAGGAGAAGAGGGGTTGCCTGTGTGCCGCCTCCCTCCTGCCTGGCCCGAGGGTGCCCGACGCGTCCCGGGCACTGACGGGTCTGTCCTTGCAGGCACCGCCAGGGTGGAGCTCTGCGTGCAGGGCTCGGCGGACCTGGCGCACCTGGACGACGGGCCCTACGAGGCGGGGGGTGAGAAGGAGCAGGACCCCCGCCTCATCCCGGTCCCCGCCAACAGCTACCTTGGTAGGGACGCCTCCCGGCGCGAGCCGCCCTAACCCTCTGCTCCTCTCTCTCGCCCCTCCGTGCTCCCGCCCCTTCGTCTCCGTCTCCGTCTCCGTCTCCGGTTATCCGTGTCTGTCCTGGCCTTTCTCCGTCTCTCCCTCCTGCCTTCTCTCTCGTCTTCCTGTCCGCCTCTGTCTCTGCTCCGGGGCCCTGGCCCTGGACGTCCCTCCCCTGGTGTGTCCCCCTGACCGCCCCGCAGGGCTGCTCTTTGTGACCAACATTGATAGCTCAGACCCTGACCAGCTGGTGTATAAAAGTTTGGACCCCGCTGACCGGCTCCCAGGACCGGCCGGAGACTTGGCCCTGAATAGCTACTTAGGTTTGTAAGCGCCTCCCCGTGTGCTCCGGGGCCCTGGGGGCTTTGTCTGGCCTCCCTTCTTCCTCCCGCTCGACCCCCCAAGCACACGCCCGGGGCGACATGCTGGGGCCGCACTGTAGAGCGGAGGTGGGCCGGGGCCCCGCTGAAGAGAAGCGGCCGGGGTGGATGCCCGGGGCTGTGAACGGGTCTCTGAGGATCCAGGCGGGCCGAGACTTCCTGGGAAGGAAGGAGGCGAGGCCTTGGGGGGCTTCCCCCGAGGGCAGGCTGTGGGCCGCGTGGGGAACCCTTGCCTCGGGCTCTGCAAGGAGCGGACCCGAGAGATGTTCAGGGCGTCAGGCTCTTCCCCAGCTGCTCCGCCTCGGCGGGCCCCACCTCTCCCCGCGCGGAAACTTCCCCTCCGGGCCAGGGTGGGGGGCTGGGGGCAAAGAAGGTGCCGTGCAGGGATTGGCCTCCTGGGTGCCGAGGGGAGCAGGTCCCTCCTGCGTGCAGGGGGTCTGGGATGCCCCCGCTCTGCCAGCTTCAGCCTCGGGGCTCAGACACGGCTTCCTCTTCCCTCCGGCGCCCGGGGCAAGACGAGCTGAGCACCGGTCCCTGGAGCTGGGAGGCTGCTTGGCCTCCGGGGCAGGAAGAGGGGTCCATCTGGGTGGTGAGGCCGTCTTTTGGCTGCGGACGGGCGCGGGGACCTCCCCCCTCCGCCCCGCTCACCCATCGTTGAGCGGGGACGCTCTGGCTCCTGAGTCTCGGGGGCCGTGGGCTCACGGGGGAGTCGCCCCCCCAGGTTTCTCCATCGACTCCGGGAAGGGTCTGGTGCGTGCGGAGGAGCTGAGCTTCGTGGCAGGCGCCCCCCGCGCCAACCACAAGGGCGCTGTGGTCATTCTGCGCAAAGACAGCGCCAGCCGCCTGGTGCCCGAGGTCCTGCTGGCCGGGGAGCGCCTGACCTCGGGCTTCGGCTCCTCGCTGGCCGTGGCCGACCTCAACAACGATGGGTGAGCGGGGCGGAGGGGGGAGGCGCCCAGGGGGGGCTGGGTCTGGGCGGTCTGAGGGGCCTCTGGCCTCTCCCGACCCCCCTGGCTAGACGGTGCCCCCCACCGACATTCTCCCCTCCCGCCCTAGCTGGACAGACTTGGTCGTGGGTGCCCCCTACTTCTTTGAGCGCCAAGAGGAGCTGGGGGGCGCCGTGTACGTGTACATGAACCAGGGCGGTCACTGGGCTGGGGTCTCCCCTCTCCGGCTCTGTGGCGCCCCTGACTCCATGTTCGGGATCAGCCTGGCTGTCCTGGGGGACCTCAATCAAGATGGCTTCCCAGGTGGGAGGGGCGGCCAGGGAGGCCGAGGCGGGAGGCAGGGCCGGGGCCGGGGCGAGGGCAGGTTCTGCTGAGGGCTCCGGGGTGGGGGTGGTGGGTGGTGGGGGGAGGCAGCCCTGGACTCGCCGCGGAGCCTTGTCAGCTTCGTGGTCTCGTCGAGCTGCTCGAGCTCTCCGGGCTGCGGCTACTTGCACCGGCTGAGGGGGTTAGACAGGACGCTTGCCGGGTGCCCGGGGACGCGATAGCCTCCTAGAGAGCTAGAACACGAATGATGTGGAACTGCGTGGCGTCGCCCCGTGGCCCCCCAAGCCTGACCGCCCCCCCATGCCTGCAGACATCGCCGTGGGGGCCCCCTTCGATGGGCACGGGAAGGTCTTCATCTACCACGGCAGCAGCCTGGGGGTGGTCGTCAAGCCTTCACAGGTGCGGGGCCGGGGGGCTGCGGGGCTGGCGGGGCGGGCCGGGGGGCAGCGGTGCAGAGGGCGGGGCGGGAGAGACTGGAGTGATGGGCGCGGGGGGCTCACGGGCTGGTCCTGCAGGTGCTGGAGGGCGAAGCCGTGGGCATAAAGACCTTCGGCTACTCTCTGTCCGGCGGCCTGGACGTGGATGGGAACCACTACCCCGACCTGCTGGTGGGGTCCCTGGCTGACGCCGCCGTGCTCTTCAGGTGAGCCCGCCGCCTGCTCTGCCGCCTCCCGCCGGGCCCGCACCCCACCCCGGGCCGGGGCCGACGCTGAAGACGCTGCCGCCTTCCTGCTCCAGCCTCTTGCCCTCTGTGCCTCCCAGGGCCAGGCCCGTCCTCCACGTGTCCCACGAGCTCTTCATCTCGCCACGAGCCGTCGACCTGGAGCAGCCCAACTGTGCTGGCGGCCACTCGGTCTGGTGAGCGGGTTCGGGGAGGCTCGGGGTCTGGCGTTCCCCTGTTCCCCCCGTCTCTGCCTTCTTGGGGGCTGGGGCGGGGGTGGTCAGGCCGGGGGGTGCCCTGGCTGCAGCCTTGCGTGGCTCAGGAGCTGCGCTCTGCCCTACAGCGTGGACCTCCGTGTCTGCTTCAGCTACGTCGCGGCCCCCAGCAGCTACAGCCCTATTGTGGGTGAGTGAGGCCCCCTCCCCGGGTCGCAGGGGGGCCCTCTGAGGTGGAGAGAAGGGCGCCCTGGGGCAGGGGGTGCAGATCGGAGCAGCCCCCCACTCACCGCCCCAGGCCACACCCTCCCCTCTCCCCGCGCCACAGCCCTGGACTACTTGATCGACGGGGACACGGACCGGCGGCTTCGGGGCCAGGTCCCCCGAGTGACCTTCCTGAACCGGAGTCTGGATGACCCCAAACACCAGGCCTCAGGCACCGTGTGGCTGAAGCACCAGCATGACCGAGACTGTGGAGACGCCGTGTTCCAGCTCCAGGTGGACACGGGCCCGCGGCCTCCGAGAGAGGCCACGTGATGTCCTCGCCCCGAGGCCTTGAGCTTCCATTCTAACGCGCGCTGCAGCCGAGACCTGGCTTTGGGGAGGCCCGGCGTGCCGGCTGCCGCTCTCTCGCTCCTGGGCTCGGTGCTTCCTGGGAATGGGCGGCCGTTTCCAGGGTCACACCTGGTCCTCGCAGCACTCAGTCCGGGGTGTCCTCCCTTCTCCACCCCAGCCGCCCTCCCTCCTTGCTCAGGTCTCCAGAATCTTAGGTTTAAGAAAGTTAAACCCGGCTGGGGCTTTGGGGAGTGGGGCCTGGGGATTGTTCTAGCATCCACGTCTGTCTTTCCCCTTCCCAGGAGAATGTCAAAGACAAGCTTCGGGCCATTGTGGTGACCCTGTCCTACAGTCTCCAGACCCCTCGGCTCCGGCGACAGGCTCCTGGCCAGGGGCTGCCCCCTCTGGCCCCCATCCTCAATGCCCACCAGCCCAGCACCCAGCGGGCAGAGGTGCGCATGGGCCCCCGGAAAGGGAGGTGGGAAGGGTGAGCCTCACCCGTCACAGTGACGCTCATTCATGGCTCGAAAGCCGCTGCAGTGGCTCCTGCTGTCTGAGGTGCTGTCGCACGTAGGCCCCAGACCGGAAGTGGTCCAGGCAATCAGGCGTTGCTAGTCAGAGGGCCCAGTGCTCCTCCGTTTTCCACGCAGTCATTCAGGATGGTGGGGGGTCGTCACCTTCAAATGTAGGCGCCCAGGTCCTCGGCTCATTTCCATCCTGGCCAACCGTGGTGGGCGCACAGAGCTCTTTGTGAGGTCCTCATGGCCAGTGTGGGGCGCATGCTCTTCCCATTCCAAATCTGGGTGCAGTTACACGCCAGGAGGACTGGGGAGCGTGGTGTGGCCTGACCTGATTCCTACCACAGCTTCGTGAAACTCCCGTCGCGTTACCGATAGGGGTGCGGCTCCGAGCAGTTCAGGAAGCAGCTCCCTGACGCGCGGCTGAGAAGAGCAGAGCTGAGAGCCGAACACAGCTGCTTTCATGCTGTGATGCTCACCCTGTGCCTCGGTGACACCGTATGCCTTGGCCCTCGGAATGACCCCCCCAAATCTCTCTCCAGATCCACTTCCTGAAGCAGGGCTGCGGCGAGGACAAGATTTGCCAGAGCAATCTGCAGCTGGGTCAGGCCCGCTTCTGCGCGCGGATCAGTGACATGGAGTTCCAGCCTCTGCCCATGTGAGGGGGGCGTGGGAGCTGGTGGGGTGCGCGGGCAAAAGCTCGAGGAACGGGCCTGGGTCTGCAGAGAGAGAGAGGGCTGGGGAGGACCTGCTGGTGATTTAGAAAATAGCAGGATGAAGGCCAGCGAGCAGCGAGGGGACACGGGGGCTCCCCTGGGGAGTCATAGTCCACACCACACACGTCACGGGCAGGGCACACACGTCCATCGCACCGCGGCCTTCCCAGCCCGGTGAGGAAGGACAAGACTAACTCCGATTTAGAGATGGGCAGTGCAGGCCTAGATAGGCTAAGTTACCTGCCAGGGTAAGTGACTGGGGCAGCTGGGACGGCCGGAGCCCCGGGCCCCCGCGCTGGCTTCTTGAGCACGGGAAGGCCGGAGGCAGGCGCCGGAGGTGAGGCCGGGGCGCGGGGCCGGCAGTGAGGGCGCAGCTGCAGGCGTGGGAGAGGCTGGGAGGGTGTTTGGGTCTGAGCCGTGGGACCCGGCCCTCCAGGGATGCAGACGGGGCCACAGCCCTGTTCGCCATGAGCGGGCAGCCGTTTGTCGGGCTGGAGCTGAATGTCACCAACCTGCCCTCGGACCCAGCCCAGCCCCAGGCCGATGGGGACGACGCCCACGAGGCGCAGCTCCTGGTCACCCTCCCCGCCTCTCTGCGTTACTCAGGAGTCCGGGCCCTGGACGGCGCGGTGAGGCCCCCAGCGGGGTGGGGGGGTTCTCGTGGGGCTCCTGGAACCCAAACTGACCTCTCCTCGCCCCGCGCCAGGAGAAGCCGCTGTGCCTGTCCAATGAGAACGCCTCCCACGTCGAGTGTGAGCTGGGGAACCCCATGAAGAGGGACGCCCAGGTTGGCGATCTGCCCTTGTCCCTGCCCGGGCAACTGTCTGCCTTGCGCCCTGCCTCCCCTGACCACCCCCCATTCTGCGCTTGGCCTAGGTCGCCTTCTACCTCCTCCTCAGCACCTCGGGGATCACCATCGAGACCACGGAACTGGAGGTAGAGCTGCTGTTGGCCACGTAAGCCTGGCGGGGTCGGGGGCAGACGGACGGGTGTCCACCTGGAAGGGGCTCTGCTGTCCTCGCCCGACCTCGGGGGTAGTGCCTGTGCCTCCTGCCCACTCGGGCCCCGCTCCCCCTCCAGGATCAGCGAGCAGGAGCTGCACCCCGTCTCGGTGCGAGCGCGTGTCTTCATTGAGCTGCCGCTGTCCATCGCGGGGTGAGCCCTCGCAGCGGGGGGTGGGGGGCACTGGGCACGCCCACGCCCCCGCTGGGGCTCTGATCCCCCGCCCGGGCTCTGCCTCCCGACGGCCGTGCAGCCCGGCTCCAGGCCCCAGCCCGCGTCTCGTCCCCCGCGCAGGGTGGCCACCCCCCAGCAGCTCTTCTTCTCCGGCGCGGTGGTGGGCGAGAGCGCCATGAAGTCTGAGCGGGACGTGGGCAGCAGGGTCAAGTATGAAGTCACGGTGAGCGTCCTGGCGCCTGACCTCGGATGCCTGCCTTTCTTCTGGGCGCAGAGGCGAGGCCGGGGCCGGTCCCCTCCCCAGGGCGGGCTGTGCCGGTGTGGCACGCGCTGCTCCAGCGAGCTCCAGGCCCCTGCTCCTGGCGAGGCCTCATCGCCCATCACCCCTGAGTAGACGCAGGCGGGGGGTGGGGGGCGGTTCTCTGCTGGGGCCTCCATGGGGAGTGGGGGCCATCAGGAGGCCTGGTGTCCCTCACAACTGCCCTTTTTTGACTGGGGCTCCCCCATGCCGCCCAGGGACACCGCCCGAGTTTTCCTGTTTGATGTGGCCGCGAGTGGTGCCTGGGGGGTCTAGGATCCTGAGTGTTGAAACCCCTGTTCCCCGAGGCCCCTCTGTCACCTGGCTCCCCCCTCCCCCCCACCCATGGGTCTGGAGCCTGCCCAGAAACTGACTTCCCTCGCGCCACAGGTCTCCAACCAAGGCCAGTCCCTCAACACCCTGGGCTCTGCTTTCCTCAACGTCATGTGGCCCCACGAGATTGCCAACGGGAAGTGGCTGCTGTACCCCATGCGGGTGGAGCTGGAGGGCGGCCGGGGGCCCGGCCAGAAGGGGCTGTGCTCCCCCAGGCCCAACATCCTCGGCCTGGTGAGGCTGAGGGGCGGGCGGGGCCCCGGGGCTGGGTGGAGGGGCTGGGGCGCTGCAGGATGTCCCAGGGCTGGGGTGTGTGGCCGGGTTGGGGACCAGGAGGAAGGTGGTGGGGTGGAGCTGCGCCTTGGGGGTGCTGGGCTTGGGGGACACTCAGCGGGCGCCTCCTTCCAGAAAGTAGACAGCGCAGATAGGAGGCGGCGGGAACTGGAGCAGCCCGAGCGTCAGGAGCCCCGCGGGCAGCTGGAGCCCAGCACGTCCTGGTGGCCAGTGGCCTCTGCCGAGAGGAAGAAAAACATCACCCTGGTGAGGGCAGAGCGGGGTGGGGCGGTGCTGAATTTCGGGGTGTGACAGAGCACGCCGCGGGGCCGGGGCTTCGGGGGGGTGTCGGGCCAGGCTGGCTGCTCAAGACGCGTGGCAGTCGGCCACGCAGGGCAGGTTGACAAGACAGTCGCCACACCTGGGAGGCAGCGGCTGGTGCCACGGGTGCCCCCTGGCGCCGTTGATGCCAGAGCAGAGCCCTTGACCTGCGGGGAGCTGGTGCTCAGTGGCGCTGTCACGGGGTCGAGCCCCGGCTGGGGAAGCTGCTCTCCGCGCTGCTGTGCGGCCAGAGACCCCGCCAGCGCCCGTTCATTTCAAAGCCGAGCAGCCGAGATTTGGGGTAGCTGCCGTTGGGATCACAGGGTTGATTTGGGGAGACTTCTGGAGGAGCAGAGTCTGAGGTGGGGTAACGAAACAGGAGAGATGAGCGTGAGGAGCCTGGGCCGAGGGGGGTCCAAGAGCGGGGGCCCGGAAGCCACGGCGAAGGCGCTGGGTAGACTGTCGTGGCCACGCCTGGGCCGTGTGGCCCCGGGCAGCTCGCTGGCGGCACCGTGGCCCACGGCTTGCCCGTCCCGCTCCTCAGGACTGCGCCCGGGGCACGGCCCGCTGTGTGGTGTTCAGCTGCCCCCTCTACAGCTTCGACCGCGCGGCCGTGTTGCACGTCTGGGGCCGCCTCTGGAACAGCACCTTCCTGGAGGTGAGGGCTCTGCTGGGGTGCTGGGGGCCTCCTCTTCCCGGCAGCCCCCTCCCTGGGGCGCATCCGAGCTCCCCTGCCCCTGTCCCCAACGCACGCCTCACCCGCGGTGGGCAGAGGTGCCCTCCGTGCTGCATTTCCCTGCGCCCGGAAACCTTATAATTCCAGGAGCTGGGCGAGAGGCGGGGGCCTGGGGCATTGAGAGGGGGTCCCCCTCCCTGTTCCCTTAGGAGTACTCGGCGGTGAAGTCCCTGGAAGTGATCGTCCGCGCCAACATCACGGTGAAGTCCTCCATCAAGAACTTGCTGCTCAGAGACGCCTCCACGGTGGTGAGCTGCAGGGCCGGTGCTGGGTGCCGGGGCGAGTGGGGTGGTGCTGGCCACGGGGAGCCCCCCTCTTCTGCTGCTCTGGCCTTGCCCCACCGAGCCCCGGCTCCCCAGATCCCGGTGACGGTCTACCTGGACCCGGAGGCCGTGGTGGCCGCGGGCGCCCCCTGGTGGATCATCCTCCTGGCCGTGCTGGCCGGGCTGCTGGTGCTGGCGCTGCTGGTGCTGCTCATGTGGAAGGTGAGTCTGGGGGCGCGTGGGGTGCCGGGGCGGGTGTCTCGAGCTGCGTCTCCGTGGCCCATTCGCGCGGGCATCCGGTAACTCTGCCCTGGACCCTTGGCCTGCCAGGCCCGGGGGCTCTACCAGCCTGGATGTTTCAGAGATGAGTCAGAGGCAGATTGGGTCCCGGAGAGTTGGCAGCCCGGTGGCCAGGGCGAGACCTACGTCCCAGGCGCGGGTGGTGGCACCAAGGACGGCGTGTAATGGAACCCCCAGGGGGAAAGGCTCGCGGGCAGGCGCTCCTGGGGTCGGGCCGTGCAGGAGGCGGGTGGGCTGAGGGCCTGATGTCGACGAGGACAGCGGGTCTGGGCTCTCCAGAAGGGCGTGGGGGCAGCGACACGGAGGCAGGAAGCTGGGCTCGCCGGGCCAGCGCGGGCCGTGGAAGGCTGGGAGGGAACCAGGACCAAATGGCCAGCCGTGCCGGGAGCTGCCTCCGGGGTGGCCCTGGGACCCTCCCCATGCTGGGGGCCTGCGTCGACCCAGCCCTTGCACGCTGAGCTGTGGCCATGGCTGGGCTGTGCGTGTCCTTGAGACGCTGTGGAGCCCCTCCCCCACCCCAGCTCAGTCACAGGCCAAGCACGGCCTTTGGAGACTGTGAGTCACCCGTGGGCCAGGCCTCAGCTGAGGCCCCCAAGCTGCTGGGGACCTGGCCACTCTTAGGGGAGACTCATTGGCCACTCTTAGGGGAGACTCATGCGTTCCTGAGCCTGGTTCCAGGGTCCCCCTCTGCTGCTCCCGTGGAAGGGGGCCAGAGCAGAGTTAAGGGCCCCGCATCCTTCCTCAATCTGCCCACCCTCCCCCTCTTTTGCCCCCTCCCTCCCCTGACCCCCCAGTGTGGCTTCTTCCACCGGAGCAGCCAGAGCTCATCTTTCCCCACCAACTATCACCGGGCCCGCCTGGCCATGCAGCCCTCTGCCGTGGAAGCTGGGGGCCCAGGGACTGTGGGGTAACTGTTGTATGCATGTGTCTGTGTGTACGTGTGTGTGTGAGTGTCGGTAGAGCTCCCAGCGTTCAGGGGACCAGGCACGTGGGGTGAAGAGATGCGGTTGCACGAGGGTGGTGTGAGTGCTGGGAGGCGGGCGGCGGGTGGCCACTGGGGCGTTAGGAGGGCGAGTGCACACCCCTGGGGCTGGGGCATGCACAGACACGCAGGAGCTGGCTCCAGGGTGTGAGCATGTGGGAGTGCAGGGAGCCGCCTGCGTGTCTTCTCTGGGCATGCGTGTGCAGATGAGTGTGCAAGGCGGTGCCATGCAGTCTGAGCATGTCGCATCTTGGGTGACTCTGAGAATGAGTGTGCAAGGGTGTGCCAGGGCCAGCACGTTCACGACTTAGGGAGACACTAGGCCGCCACATTCGTGGCGAAGAGGGTCCTGCTGTAAGATGCTGCCGCCCTGTGTGGGCACGTTGGGTCTGAGTGTGTGACACGGGGGTCGTCTGGATTGTGCAGGGCCTAGGAGGCCGCGGTTTCCCTCAGATCCTGCTCCTGTTCTCAGTGATGCTGTTGGGTCTCAGAGAGCTTGGGTGGGTGGAAACCTTTGGGGTGCGCAATCCTGATGTTCCACCCCAGCCCCCACTCTGTGAGCCAAGGGGGATGTTTTTGGACCTGCATGGGGGGCCCCACCCCGCCATTCTCTTGCTGTGAGAACCTGGGGGCGCTGCCTTCTGCACCGGACCCGGCCCAGCCCCCTCCGCTGTGGCGGGTGTTTTCTGTCCCGTGGTGGTGAAGGCGACCAACCGGCTGTGCCGGTGTTTGCTCAAGGGGTCCGCCCTGCAGGGCCCTCACGTCTGGCCTGGGTCCTTACAGGTGGGATTCTTCAAGCGGGTGCGGCACCCCGAGGCCACAGTGCCCCAGTACCATGCGGTGAAGATCCCCAGGGAGGACCGACAGCAGTTCAAGGAGGAGAAGACAGGCACGATCCTGAGGAGCAACTGGGGCAGTCCCCGGCGGGAGGGCCCCGACGCGTACCCCATGCTCGCTGCCGACGGGCACCCCGAGCAGGGTGCGGACGGGCACCCCGGGCCCGCTACCGCCTAGTGCCCGTGCCCCCGCCCGGCCCTGGGGCCCTGCGCCGTCCTCAGAGCGGCTCCTGGGGTGGGACGGGTGCTGCTGTCCCATCAGGATTTGGTGGATGTTTCCTCGGGGACACAGGTCCCCCCCATGACAATCCCCCCAACACTCTCCCCAGAATGCTGCGAGATGAGAGGGGGTAAATCAGGGATGGGGGGTTGGCAGGGCGAGAAGGGCAGCTGTGTCCTGATGCAAAGGTGGGGAGAAGGACCCTGACCCCTCCTTCTCCCAGTCACCTGCATGAGGGGACCCCAAGGACTGTCTGTCTCCCTGAAGTGCCTTAGTCTGAGGGCTGGGAAGGACTCCCCGCTACTGACTCAGGAGCTCGGCCCTCCTGAGCAGCCCCTCCGCCCTGCCCTCCGTTGGCTTAATCTCGCCAGTGGATTTTGTCTATTTATTAAAAAACGTTTGAGGACAAAACCTCTGCCTGCTTTGCCCCCCCTCATGCCTGGGGGCTCTAGGAGGGGTCCGGTTTCTGCACCCCGCAGCTCAGGATGGAGGTGGCATGTGCGTGTCCTGGGGCTTGGACATGGGGTAGGGGTGGGGGGAGTGGGGGGAGGGGATGGCGAGCTTGGGGTGGGGGTGGGGGGGTGGGCAACAATGAGAGGGGCCGCTGGGAATTTGCAGCCAAGGACTCTGCAGGGTGTGGCCGCCTCGGAGGTGCAGTCACAGCAGGGAGAGTGTGTTCCTGCGGCAGGAGGGCTCACCTTAGTGATGCACCCTGCTGGCAGGAGGGCTCCACCTTAGTGATGCACCCTGCTGGGGAGGCAGCGGGAGGCAGCGGCAGCCAGCGGGAGCCCTGCAGGACCGGAAGGGCTCCTGGGTCTAGGTTCTTCTCAGTAGAAGACAGAGGAGGCCAGTAGGTGGGATTGTTTTTATTTATTTATTTATTTATTTATTTATTTATTTATTTATTTATTTATTTATTTATATTTTACATCAGGGGAAAAATAGTAACAATACAAAATACAACACAACGCAACAAAAACAAACGGACAATTATAAACCAGAGACGTCCTGCAGGGGCGGAGGGGGGAGAGGGGTCAGAGGGAGGGAGGGAGGAGCCCAGGGGACGGAGGGGATGGTGCAGGGGGCCCTGGTGGAGGAAATTCTGGGGGGACTGCACCTGGGGGGGAGGCAAACATTGTTTGCAGTGGAGGCGGGACTCCCAGCCTCCCCAGGGGTAAGCGCTTGAAGGGGTGGCGGGGCTCGTTCCTTTTGGAGTTTAGGGACCCGGGTGCCCTCCAGATCCTTCCAGGTGTTTCTGGGGAGGCGGCAGCCAAACCCCGGGGGTTTCCAGGTGGGCCTTCCAGCCCGCTGCCACAGCAAGGCCCAGCCTCCGTGGGGCTCCGTCCTGCCCCCAGGAAAGACACTCCCCTGGGGAGAGCACGCGTGGGCTCTTGTGCTTGGCCGCCAGCCTCTGGCCTGCCTGCCAGGTCAGGCCTCTGGGCAAGGAGGGCTCTCGCAGCACGGGGCTCCCGAGTTCCCAGCACCCCGGCTCCCTCCGCCCGCCCCACGCACGTGTGTGCTCAGTCTCTGGGGCGTGGAGCGGACCCCGAAGAGCTGCTGGCGGGAAGGCGCGGTGGGGACCAGGCCGCCATCTCCGTGCAGAGGCACGCCCGCCTCTCCAAGGCCCAGGCGCCCGCGTCCAGCCATTTCCTGGACATCTCCGCCAACTCCTGGCCAAAGTTGGGGTTCCTCCAGCCCCCCTCCTTTCCGCTCCTTCCCTGCGGGTGCTCTCCCCAGGTGATCTCACGCGTCCCCCTGCTCAAAACTGACTGAGCGGGCGACTTGCAAGGTCACCCCTCTTGCGAGGGCATCTCTCTTGCGAGGTCACCCCTCTTGCGAGATCACCCCTCTTGCAAGGTCACCCCTCCGGGTCACGTCTCTTTCTGACTTGCAGAGCTGCCTTTCCACGGGCTCTGCGGCTTCTCTGCTTGGCTGTCTCAGTGGCACCCGAGGCCTAACTAGCCCCAAATACCTCTCTTGCCTCGGCGAAGGCCCGTCCCGCACCCTCCACCGTCCGCACCACTCTCCTCCACGGCTGCTCCTGCCGAGCCTGGAAACCCTCCTAAGCGCCTGTCTCTCCACGCCCAGCTCCCCAGGACACCCCTATTTCCCCAGCCTCCTCCCTGCTCTCCTCGGGCCTCTGCCCAAACATCACTTCCCTTGGTACCCCTCCCCTCCCCCACCGTGTCACTTTTTTCGGGCGCCCTATTCTGCCCCCCAGATGAGGGCGAACGGGTGTCTAGATCCTGGACACGGGGGCGGCCAGGTCACCCGCCCGAGCCCAGCGTCTCCCGCTCACCAGCCCCAGCACCCTGTGCCCCTCCCGCAGGGCCTTTCCCAGGCTCTGCACCGGGGAGCCGGCCACCAGGGTGCTGACCCCCACCTCCACCTACTGGCTCGTGGTTTCCTGGCCTCTGTAGGCCCCACCACAAGCTCTTCACACCGGAGGGGCCTGTGCTCGGCCATGGTCTTTGTCCAGAACCTCTCAAAGTGGGGGTTTGGGCCCAGGCAGGGGGTCCTGCAGCCACGAGGGTAGAATTGGGAGTTGGTCCCACAGTCCGGCTCCAGCAGGGCCACCTTCTCTGAGTCTCCTGAGCGCTCTTTATCTGGCCAGAGCTCTGCTTTCTTGCTCTCCACCTTGCCCTCGGGTCAGCGCGGCCGCTGGATGGGGGATGGAGCAGCGGAACCCGCGGGCACAGGGCAAGGTCAGGAGCTGCCAGGGGCTCCAGACTTGTTCTCTGCCCAGACGCTGCAGACACAGGTCAGGTCCCAGCCCGTCTCCTGCTTGGCTGTTTCATCTCCCTTCAGGGTGGGGGGTCACAGAGTCCCCCCGGAGGACTCAGGCCCCACACCCTCATGGGCTTTTCAAGAAATCTCATGGGGGTGAAGGAACAGCTGGTGCCATTCTGCCCCGAGTTCGGGGTGTGCCGACCACCCGGAGAGGCATGGGGAGGGGCCGGGATGAGTCTCAGCTCCAGATCTGACTCGGACCCTGGTCTCACTCTGTCCTTGGGTTCCTTGAGCTGGAACTTCTGGGGCAAAGCTGCAACGTGCCTTCGCCCCAGAGGGAGGCCAAGCAGTGTTCAGGGCACATAGGGCCTGGTTGGTCAGAAGGAGGAGGACGGTGCTGGCAAACGAGGCATCTTCTCAGCGGGTGGTATTTATTATCAAACCCCAGTCCGGAGGCCAGAGAGAGAGGGGACGAGGGACGGGAGGAGAAGGCAGGATGCAAAAGAGGAGACTGAGGTTCCAGAATTCTGTTATTACCCTGCTGTGGCTTTGGGCGAGCCTGTGTCTTCTGGACGCCCGTTCTTTTCTGTTCTATAGGGAGATGAGAAACTGGGGGGGCCAAACACACTCTCCCCAGTGGGTGACGTCCTCGCCGCCCAGGCTTCAGAACCAGACTCGGGGTCACGGGCACCGTAGCAGAGAGTCCCGAGCCGAGGCAGCGGTGGCTTCTTTTTTGGCTGAAGCCTCCTTCAGAGTCTTGGGGAAACTTCCCAAAGACAGTCCCAAAGGCCTCCCGCTAGCTGAATAATTGCCAAAGGACATTTGATTTAGAGGGAAAAAAATCAACAACTTGGCAGCATAAAAGAGGGAAATTAAATCTGAGTCTCGAGAGGCACATTTCCCAGGGCCGCTGCCGGCCTCGGGGGGGGGGGGGGGGCTGGGGCTGAGCAGAGGCCCTGGGAGCTGTGCGCTGGAGGCCCCCCTCTGTCCAGGCCCGTCCACCGGCCAGGAGGCCCTGGAGGTGGCTGCTGTGGGGGAGTGTGTCCCACGCAGAGAGCAGAGCTGGGGGCCCAGAGCCGCTGCCTGTGGGAGGTTTTGTGGCCCCAAGTGAGACACATTCTTCTCTATTTTTTTTTTTAAAGATTTATTTTTATTTATCCAAGAGCTGGGGTACAGGCCTGAGGCGTGGGAGGGTGAGAGGATTCACCAGAGCCAGAGCAGGGAGCAGAACAGGCAGACTGACAAAATACACTGCTGAGGGGAGCAGCGGGCGAGACAGGTGAGGTCTGCCGAGCCATGTGGGAATCTCCCTGGCCGCCCGGGGAATTGTACTGGCTCTGCGGAGGCTGCGGACAGTTTCACAGTGCTGCGCTCAACCTGCTGCGTCCCTGGGGACACCCCTTCTCTAGTTTTGTTCCTTTGGTGGACTGTAAAGCAGGCACCAGAGTGAGGTGCGCGGTCCCGTCCCCAGGTCAGGTTGGTGAGGGAAGACTTGAGGCCCAGGCCTGGCCCAGAGCACCAGTGGGCCCAGTTCTGGAAGAGTAAAGACAGGAGCAGCCCAGCCAATTGGGGGACAAAAGGGGTGCTCCGGAGGGGGCAGGAAAAGAAGGGTGTCAGGACAGACTGCATGCCCCTTTCTGGAAAGGGTGAGATGTTTATTCAGTGGAGAATGGGGTGAGTCAGTGGGGAGTGAGGCCAGAGCAGTCACTCTAGGAAGATTTCTCTTTGTTTTTTTAAATTTATTTTTATTTATTTATACAAGCACTGGGTACAGTCAGAAGCGCGGGAGGGTGAGAGAATTCACCAGAGCCAGAGCGGGGAGCAGAGCAGGCAGAAGGACCGAAGTACACTGCTGAGGGGAGCAGCGGGCGGCAGGAGAGGTCTGCGCGCCATGTGGGACCCTCCTCTGGGAGCCGGGGAGCAGCCGGGGATCGAACCGGCGCTGCAGAGGCTGCGGGCAGCTTCGCAGTCCAGCGCTCAACCACTGTGCCACCAGGGGAGGCCCCTATTTTATTTTTTAAAAGATTTATTTTATTTACTTATGCATACAAGAGCTGGAGTGTAGACCAGAGGTGCGGGATGAGAGCATTCACCAGAGACAGAGTGGGGAACAGAACAGGCAGACTGACTGAAATCCACTGCTGAGGGAGGCAGCGGGCGAGTCAGGAGAGGTCTGCTGTGCCATGTGGGTCATCTCCCTGGCCAAGAATAGAACTCATGCCATAGTGGCTGGCAATAGCTTGATAGCGCTGATACTTTAACCCCTGGGCCACCATGGAGGGCCTATACAGACTCTATTATTATTATTGTATTTACCATTTTGGGCTAAAAATATTTGTTTGTATACCTGTTTCCCTGAATGACTTGTTGGCTTACCGAACAAAGGAGCGAGGTATGCTTATAGCCCCAACATAGCAGCAATCAATGTTTGCAGAATGAGTGACTGCTGTAAAGCAATCAGATGCATGAGCAGTAACAAAACATACTGATAGAAAACTCTTCAGTAAAACTCAAAGCAGTAAATGCTTGATTAGTGCAAAATACATGTGGCACAGACTCCAAATTCTGTGGACTAGAGCATACTAGGAGGGAATACATTATCTTCCTTCCTTGGTGGAAATTAGGGCTATTGTTACTGTGAACTTTTTTTTTTTTTTTGATATTTTGCAAAGCCATAGCAATTAGTATTCTAGAAACTTGCTGCTCAAAAATGTGTTCCCTGAACCAACAATATTGGCTTCGCTTGGGCCTTGTTAGAAATGCAGACTCCTACGCCC